TATTATTAATAGAACTCCAGAGCTGGAAAGGGACCCTACGGATCATCAAACCGAACTCTATCAAAGAGACACAGTGGAGAATCAAACTCCCAACCTTTGGCTCTGCAGCCAGATACTACCATTGACATTTTTATGTAGAAGAATTCAATCTAAATCAAAAGCTACTCGTGTGACCACGAAAAACTTTTAAGAAAGCAATGGTGCCATAATATAAACAGCAGAGCCTTTGTACTTTGCCTTCAAAGTCCCAGTTTCCATCAATAATAGCAATGCTGGTGCCAAGCCAATATTTGGGGGGGGGTTGGGTTTGACTGACCTGGTACCACCCCAGAGAAGGCCCTGTCCTTAGTAGCAACCTGTCTTGAGTTCTGAAGGGTGTGGGTATCCTGAGTGCAACTTTGGTTGATGAGTCTCACAGTCACTGGACAAGAGTGGCCCTTTGGATCAGAAGTACACCGAAAACAAACTGGTCTTACTTGGTGGATGTCTTGGTAATTTGCAGTAGATTGGAAAGCATTGGTGGCTTCCATTTACTGTATTTAATAATAGCTACTATAAAATGATTCCTCATACCAAAAATTATACAATTGAAAGAAAAAAAGATAATGAGTGGGTTTCTAGGATGCCCTGCGTGTATTTTTTACTGAGAAGATGGTCATCTCTGTTTAGTTCTGACACTTGAAGCTCAGTGGACTCAGAATTTTTCATTTTAGAAGGATGGTGATGATCCTGTTAAGTGCTTGCTAGACTTGAAAATTATCCCTTGCCCTGAGTGTGCAGGGAAATTCAGCAGGACTTTGGCAAAAATCCACATGCCTGTAGCAACCGTAGAGTAGACAGAGACCAAGTGGTTGCAGATACTGGCAAGGAGGTTCCGGGATGGGGTTTCACTCAACACCTGAATTCCTGTGTCGCATATAGATGTTAAAATTTGTGCACTATTATATTTGTACGATGAAAGAAGGGTGGGATGCAAGGATTTAGAACTGCCGTGGAAGCCTACATTCCAGACACATGGAAACTGAGTATAGTTACAGTATTCAGTGATGGAGGAAGAATGTGCCCTGTACATGCTCTAGCACCCTGCTTTATTATTGTTACAGCACATTGATTGATTGGTTGGTTGGTTGGTTGGTTGGTTGGTTGGTTGGTTGGTTGGTTGGTTGGTTGGTTGGTTGGTTGGTTGGTTGGTTGGCTGGTTGGCTGGTTGGTTGGTTGGTTGGTTGATTGATTGATTGGATTTCTACCCCGCCCATCTAGACCAAAGGTGTACTCTGGTCCAAAGGTGTACACATGGCCCAAAGTCAAGTACTGTATTTTGAGTTGAAAATGTCTAGCTAAAGAGGAGAAACTGTAAATATTCACCAGTTCCTTCATTGTTATCTGTGAAATTGTAAGAATGTTGAGGGCTATGTTTCTTTTTTCCCCTCTGAACTGAAGCCAATTTTTTTCAAATGTCATGTTCTGGTATCTCTATAAGCATCTATAATCATAAGACTTTTTTATTGTGGGATTTTGAGGATTCAAGTGTTAATTTTGTAAACCACCCACTTAATGTTTTTCTTCTTAATTAAGACAATAGTATAGTAAAAGCTATAAGTTGCTAGAGACTGTCATCATTTTCAGTCCTACCACTTGAATGAGTTTCATAAAAGGAAGATACAGTGCAACATTTTCCATTATTGCCTGAGTGCCAACAAGAGATTACACTATTGATATCTGACTGTCCTGAAGTACTTAGAAGTAAGAGAAACTCTGCCCCTATACAAATATGGCAGATTGTAATCACTAGTTGATAACTATGTTAATTTGTTGCAGTCAAAACAACAAGAAGATTTGTTTTATTTGGCATAAAATTTAATTAACTGTAGCCCACAGCTTCATACAAAACAGACTATCTACCTTCCCCCAATTTCATACAGCTATTTACTTTTGGGAAGAAAGCAATGAGAAACCTAGACAGCATCTTAAAAAGCATCACCTTGTCGACAAAGGTCCGCATAGTCAAAGCTATGGTTTTTCCAGTAGTAATGTATGGAAGTGAGAGCTGGACCATAAAGAGGGCTGACTGCTGATGAATTGATGCTTTGAATTGTGGTGCTAGAGGAGACTCTTGAGAGTCCCCTGGACTGCAAGGAGAACAAACCTATCCATTCTGAAGGAAATCAACCCTGAGTGCTCACTGGAAGGACAGATCCTGAAGTGAGGCTCCAATACTTTGGCCATCTCATGAGAAGAGAAGACTCCCTGGAAAAGACCCTGATGTTGGGAAAGTGTGAAGGCACGAGGAGAAGGGGACGACAGAGGACAAGATGGTTGGACAGTGTCATCGAAGCAACCAACATGATTTTGACCCAACTCTGGGAGGCAGTGGAAGACAGGAGGGTCTGGTGTGCTCTGGTCCATAGGGTCACGAAGAGTCGGACACGACTTAATGACTAAAAAACAACAACAATTTTACTTTTTATGCTTATTTTAACTGAAATTTCATTACTTGTTAAATAAAATGTACCAGAAAATCAGGGTTATACCAGTATTTACCAACTTGGTGCTCTCCAGATGTTTTACAATTCATATCCTTGCAGGTAATGGTGGAAGTAGGCTAATTGTCAAGTAAGTCTGTGCTACCATAAAATTAATCCACAATTCTATTAGACTGTGATAAACAAATACTGTAATTTACTTTGACTGTTTGGATAAGCATCAGAGATCTCGGCACATCTTTGGTATTAAGTCCCGAGACCCTAGCTCCAAGTTCCTATTAAAAATAAGATTTCCCCCCAGATTAAGGGGAGGGGTGGGTGGATTCCAAGTCACAAGTCAAGATTCCCCCCCCCAGAAGAAGGGGAGGGGTGGGTGGATTCCAATTCACAAGTTGAGTGACAGTCATTGAAATTCAAGTTAAGTTGAGTTGAGTCACTTGTGCAACTTAAGTCCGACTTGACAGCGAGTCCCATGACTTGAGTCGCCATCCCTAATAAATAAGTTTTCTTTTTGTGATACAGTATTTACATAACAGCTAGGCTAGAGATGTACATAAAATCAATGGCAGGCAAATACCGTGTTTCCCCCAAAATAAGACAGGGTCTTTTATTAATTTTGCTCCAAAAATGCATTAGGGCTTATTTTCAGGGGATGTTTTATTTTTTTCATGCACAACAATGTACATTTATTCAAATGTAGTCATGTCATCTTCTGGTTGCTGCACAATGGTGGAGGGCATGGTTTCACTTAACGGGCTTATTTTTGGGGTAGGGCTTACCGTATATTACGAACATCCTTAAACTCATGATTACTGTACACTTAATGGATGGTAGCTTTCATTCATTTGCAGTGAGTTACTGCCATTTCTGGAAATCAAAAATAAAGCTGCTTTTAAGATAACGTGCAGCTATGCAGAATAGTGGCAGAGTAACAAAATGCAAAGCATTCCCCAAGCATGGCAAAAGATAAAAGCAAGATGAATTTTCATGTTTCTTAAGCAGTATTCACAAGGAGAGATTTTATGGCTCCCTAAGTGTTAGTTGAAAATGAATCTAAAAATGTCCTGAATACATCCAAGATGAGTGAATTTTCAATTATTTATCAGTAATTTAAATATTGCTAGTTTATGATCTAACGTTAATCTTAAATGCACGTTCTGATCCCATACTGACACTGAAAACCCAGTTTTCACCTTGGTTCTACCAACTCCAGTCCATAGCCTATTAAGTGATTTCCAAATAACCTAATTCTCCATGTAAGTGGGGGCTAAACATTGGTGAGGTTCCATCCATTTTAAGAGGTGTGTAACTTACTCTTTCAACATTATAGTCCTGACATGCTCTGTTATTCACTGAAGATTCAGAAATGTTCTGAAAAAACTCTTCCTTGATTTTAATCAGAGAGGGCCAGGTTGGTAGCCAAAGTGGATGCACATCTGGTGTAGATTCTTTCAGCCTCACTACCTTTCTCTGTATATCACCAGGTATACTACCTGTTAGGTAACTGATTTGACCAATAGGTGTTGGCTTGAGGCATCCAATAATTATTCTACAGCTTTCATTGAGTTCTACGTCCAGGGTGGATTTGATTTAAATCTTGATTAATTTTTTAAGTGCGTTTTTGGATTATTTAAATTTTAAAAATTGATGTTTTAATTTAAACTGTGCTTTTCAAAAATCATATCCACCCTGGCTATGTCTGCCTGTT